GAATGTTAGAGATATTATTATTAATGGGAATGTCTTCTAGCCTAGTATTTATTTCATGTCAAATCAAATCATATGGATTTCAGTGGAATGAATGCCAAATCAGAGCACTTAGAATTGCAGCCTTAGGTTTTGATATTTAAAATCTAATTCCAGTTTCAAAGTATATTGACAGCTTGGAGCTATATATATACAGCTATTAGTCTTGCTTTGTTTTTTATGTATTGATTAAAAGTATTTAGGTACCACTTCTTATTTTAAATGTCCCAAAATACAGTACTGACAACTCTGTTTAATTATTTAACCATGTCATTTTTTTTATTTTTATTTTTTTTGCTTCTGCTCAGAAATAAACCCCACAGAAGTCAGTTTTACGATCAGACAAGTCTGCAGCCTGTGGCTCTTAATTCATTGTTTCCTCCATTGCCTACACCAAGAGACCCTTAGTGCTTGTTATGTTGCCTTTATTATGCATGCATGCTAGGCTATAGTATTATTTTTATCAGAATATTTAAGGTACATCCGTGTGTATTTTGTTATTAGTTTATGATACAGAATGGATCTTTCTTCTGAAGAGAAGCAATTAAAATACTGATGTAATAACAACCCTATTAGTCTACTATAATGTGTAATAATTATAATAGTGCTGGTAGAAAGGACATAGATTTAGGAATTGCTACTGAGCACAAAGGTTCACCTCAGGAGAATATAATATTTTAAAATATATTGATCTACAATAAGACCCTGTATCTTAACCTTAAATTAAGCTGTGTCACAGTGTTATATGTGTATTTTGTTATTCTGACAGAAGAAGGAATGTGTTTGGAGGTTACACAGTGAATCTGGAGGTGTATTTGCTTCTCCTCATTTAAATCTGTTGCCACATCACCTGTACGTTGGTACTCTGGGAGGACTGCTACTTGCTGTTAATCCTGTACGTAACTTCCTAGTTCTGCATGTATGGTGTTCTAGATTCACTAAAGGCTTTAAAAATTATGTATAAAGGGGCTAAAGAGAAGAAAACTTTTGATAACAACATTGTAGTTATTGGATATATGCCCTGTTTTCTTCTGATGCAAGCTTTTCCAGCTATATTAACATATACTAATCCATAGAAATTCCACAAATGTTACATATTAAGGGATCAGAAGCTAATAACTATTTTGTTTTTCAGCTCCTAGTAATTTAACTCTTGTGTAGTTTTAATAAACTATGTAAAATGTTACAGTATATGCAGAGATGTACACAAGTATAAAAATTAGTGAATGGTTTTGCATAAGCATATCCCTCTGCAATACTGGACAAGCATTCTTGATTGTTTAATATGATTTCACGTCTTATTTCAACAATAGATAGATCCTTATCAATTGTTGGAAAGGACAAAGAATACCAGACTTGCAAGATTTTGTTCCTATAGCTATTATAATAAAAGTAGTCCTGACCTATATGGTATTGGTTTTCCAGTCTGATCTACCTTGTAGGGCTGACACTATGGGATTTCTGTGAATCTGAACTTCGGAAAATTCTTTCCACTGTTGATTTTTTTGTTTCCAGTCTTTGTTTGGGTGCCTTAATTTCCCATTAGTTTAACATTGGAGCATTTTAAGGCAGATTGTGTTAATTATTTGCTTTTGCAGGTTATGGGGAAAACTGTTTGGAAAAGTGTTTGTGGAAAACCTATCTTCTCATCACCACATTGTGACAAAGACTATGTGTACGTTGGCTGCGTGGATGGAAATTTATACTGCTTTAGCCACTTTGGAGAAAAGGTTAAAAATTGTTGTATTATTGAATTATTGCTACTTCTAAAATAACTAGTTTAATCTTTTTTTTACTATTAACTTTAGATTTAGTTTTTATGTTGTAAAAGCTTTTTTTAATGTGTATATCTGTTTTATAAAAGAGAAGTTGAGACATAAACCTGTAACTCGATAAGAAACAGGCTTTCCAGCTCCATCATCCTGTTTATCTGATCTTGCTGATAAAAGTTTACGGAGTCTGCCATCTTGTTTCCCACAATAGCCCATTAAATGCCTCTGAGGAACCCAAAAATAACACAAGAAGCAACAGCATTATTCCAAGCCTTTCTTCCCAAATGTAGCATACTGTTTATAACAATATATAAGAATCAGAGCTAGTAACTACAACTGTGCTCCCACACAACATGGACCTTGTACCGGACATAGAGTGGGACAATTTAGGATAGGTTTGTAACTCATTTGAGAAAGGATAAAGTGAGAATTCTGCCTTTCATTTGTAGTTCAAGTATACAGAAAAGCACAAGATGTTATACAATGCAAGCAAAACAGTGCTTTTCTGCTTTTTTTTTTTTTTTTAAGAATCCTTTGGCATTTGATGTAGAAACTCCTCAGTGGGAGGATGAAAAATTGGATCCATTATTAATAGCTCCTTAATCAAACCATACTGAACATTGTGACTGGGTAGGTGCTGAGATGATGGGGTTTGAGGTTGCCCAGGCTCTTTTTTCTGTTGTGGCACCCATGGTAGCCATCTGATTAATGTTTGTATCATTCTTAGTCCCTCTTGATTATACTTCATTTAGCCCCCTTCCATTCCATTCCTTTCTTCCTCTTCTCTTTGCTTCATTTCCTCTCCCAGCATATTCTGCTCTTTTGTTTTTGCTTAAAGACAGTCATTTTTGAATTACACTTTTAAAATTCTTCTCTCTCGTTCATTTGTTCTTCCTGCTGATCATTCATTATCATTAGCTTCTGGTTTTTTTAACCGTGTAAATAATTGCAAAAAAGTGTTCTTGTGTGTGTCTGTCATCTTCCTGTGTGTTTAAATATTCTGCATCTTTGGGTCTTTCTAAGTAACTGTCCCGTTCATATCCCGGTTCCTTTTGGGCTCTACTGATGGGAAATGGGTGTTTGTATGATAAGCAGTGACACCAGAGTGATCGAATGTAGAATTTCACTGGCAAAAGATTCCTGGGAATGTTCCAAAACTGGACTGAAGAAGCCATTGCTATGATTTAAAAAACAAAACTTTATCCCTGCACTGATTCCTATGACATTGAGCAAATTTGATCTGTCCCTTTACATCTCATCCCATTCTAGTGAAATGCTATAAAGTTAATAACCCAGTTTGTAAAGAAGTGTAACTTGGACACCCTTGTACTAATTTCTGTGAAATTGGATGGGCTTTGTCCTTTTATAGTGGCCTAACTTTCCCATACTGATTTTTAAAAATGTCACAAGAGCCAACATATTGGGAAGGTGGAGAGTCAGGAACAAGTTGCAATGAGCTACACGCCACCTCCGAATCAACAGAAAACTAGTTGAGCTCTATTGGTTATTGGATTGTTTTCTGTTTTTTAAAAAGCTCAAATATTGCAGATTTCCTTGGTGTCCTTGTAATAGAGCTGCTTCTATGAAGAAACTTTATTATATTTTGATTTACTTTTTCTGCACCATTTCCAGCAGTTAGTTAAGTTAAGAGTTGGCCCAATCCCCAGTTGAATGGACCAATGATTGTCATCTCAGTTTGTCCTCTACAATAATCTGAAGCTCTTCCCAAACCATCTAGTTTCATTTTTATCATTTGAATAATGTAGTATCATCTGCAAACTTGGTTACAGCACTGATCGTTCATAACTCTAAATCATTTATGAACTAGCACACTGTTGTGTACAGTTGTTTAACAGATCCCTCTTTGCATACAGGACGTAAGAAGCATTAATTTACTTCTACTTTCTGCTTTCAATTTTTTAACTTGCTACTAATCCATAACAGGATCCAACTTGATGCTACCTTCTTGTTTTGTGATATGCATTCTGTCTTAGCTTTTTATTGTGATTTTAAATAATCATTCTAGAAAGATTTGACCATCTTGATTTTCTGTTGGAACTTTCTTTTGAAATCAGCCATGACTACTAGAGTTGAGTTCCTGGGAGTTTCCCACTAAGCAAACTGTTGAAATTGGTCTTGAAGTTAGGATTAAATCCAAGGTTTATTCTTTTGACCTGAATTCAGTGATAAATTGTTCTACAGTACAATGATTTATGTTGTATAAACTACTGTTGTGGGAGAAATATGCATTGACCAAGACTATGCTAGAGAAATGATTGTCACTAATCATTACAACACTATCTTCATTTCAGGTATGATCCCCAGGAAACAATGGTACTATGCCCCTTCTATGAAATTACTTGTCCATTAAAATATGTCCTTTTAAAATTTTCTAGCTTATTTGGCATCATGATTCTGACTGAAACAGATTTGCTGTTTGTTCAGCAGGCCCTCCCAATAAGAAAAAAATATACAAAGATGTAATGTATTTGTTTGACTGTTCTATATATTGAGATGTATAGTGGATCAGAGGAATTAGCCCTTGTTTGATATATTTTGTAAACATGGCTATAACGTTGAATGCTTGTATGCATCATTAACTCATAACAATTTATAGAATAATTCTGTCACACTAACTGAAATTTCAATAATATATTTCTTATTATTGTCCTACAGGTTTGGGCATTTTCCAGCAATGGACCAATCTTTTCATCACCCTGTGTTTCAAATTTTTCCAGAGACATATTCTTTGGGTCCCATGACTACTTTATTTATTGCTGTAATAGAGAAGGAAATTTATTATGGAAATTTGAAACAACGTCAAGAGTTTATGCAACCCCATTTCTTTTCTGTAGTCATGATTTGGACAGTAAAACATTTCTGGTGGTGACATCTACAGATGGCAAAATATGGATCCTGAATGCTAAGACTGGGGTGGCAGAAGGTACAGGAGAACTTCCAGGAGAAGTATTCTCTTCTCCTGTAGCCTGGGGATCAACAATTATTATAGGCTGTAGAAACAACTACCTTTATTGCTTAGATTTATGTTTATCTAAAACTAATAAAACTGTCTAACAGTGATCTTTTTAGGGTTTTTAGTTTTTTACTTGCGAGCTAAATGTTTACCTTAGTGTGAACTTTTTGGTCCAATATTTAGGGGAACAAAGCTAATTTTGCACTTAAGTTAAAGCTTTTTAAACTACCAAAGTCAACACTCAAGCCTAGGAGTTAGCGTTCTGTATTCAGTATCATATCCAAAAATGGAATACGATTCTTCTAGAAACCAGATTTCTGAATATTTATTTATTTAAAAAATCAAACCATTGAATAGCTAAATATAAAACATTTTGGTTGATGCAGAAATTATTTGGGATTTTGACTGGCATGCAAACTTAAGGCCAAAAATTAGGCTGTGTGGAAAATGTTATTGGATATTGCAGATATCTAAAGAAATTATATGTTCAGTTCAGGAGATTTGGGTAGATAATAGTTCTGAAAGTGTACTGAAATTCTAAGTATAATTATGAAGGTTGGAAAGATACTGTGAAAAGAATACATATGTTTTATGACCTAATAACATCAATTTACATTTATTCCAGAGAACATGCAGGATTTCTGGCTAGCTCTGTGATTTCCTCTCTTTTGTTCCACATAATTGCCCTTTTTATTTAGAGTGCTGTACCATTACAGTAATATAATATAATGTATAATTATATGATTATCATTATATAATAATATTGTTGTGTTATATGGCAGGGTAATATCCTACAAAGAATAATTGCACATAGGAACCTTTTGAAATATAGATTCTAATCAAATCACTTTATGGCTTAGTGCAGTGTCTGAATGCAGCAAAACAGGATTTCTAACATTGATTGGTTTATTTATGACTTTAAACCAAAAATAAGCAAACTACCCTTAGTACCCTTAGTGTGATCTTGAAGCATTGATTATGCATCTCTAAATGGGGTTTTCTCTTGTCCCAAGACATTTCCGCAAAATTCTTGAGCGAAATTGTTCTTTTTCCCTCTCTCCTTGTATTTTTAAACAACGGTTAATAATGCGGAAGTATGTCACAATATAAGTGTTTCCCCACATTACCAATTATCTAGGATGGCTTTGCTGCTAAACTGTTTCACACCTTTATGAATTTTTGAAGTGAATGAATAAGTAAATAAAAAGTATTTTCTATAGAAACACTGCTATTTTTATTTATATAGAACAAATTTTCAGTGATGGACCATTTACATTAAAGTTGTGACGATCAAAAACTGAAAATAGAAATTCTACTAACATACCCCTTAGTCATTGTTAATTTTTCCCATGTTGTATTGTATTGTAAAAACAGTTATATTCATATATCAATTCAGTTTCTTCTTTTAAAGTAACCAGACACATTTAACAAAAGATAATGAATAAATAAATCTCCCAGCTTTCAGCATATTATAGTTTAATTGGAATTAAAATGATATTAGTATAAGAAACAATTGCACTTTAAAACATTTGAAAAATTAAAAAAGTACACAAAACAAAATCCACAATTATACATGTTTATAATTTTATACACCACTTTATGAACAATTGAGGTTAATCATTCATAACCTCAAATAATATTTTGCCTTTATCTAGAAAAAGTTATGCCCAATGCCTGTTAGTGTATAGGATACTTTAGTTACTGCTGACAGAAGCTCTATTAATGCCAACAAGACTTGGGTATGAGTAACTTTCTCTGGGCAAGGACCAAGTGTATGTTACAAAAAAATAAAAATTGAGACCACGTGGTTCAAAGTGGTTTGATCAGTTTTAAAGTGTTGGAAGTTATCCATGTTTGTTTGTTTATTAAGAAAGGCTGCAACCAAGCTTAAGCAAAGTAACACTTCATTGGTATTTAGTGCAAAAGTTCAAGTTGACTTTATATGAAATGACAATGTTAAAACAGGCTTATAGAAATGTTTATCAACAAAATATTTTATGTAGCCCAGCTTTGATCCAATCACTGATGCAGAAATGGAGATTATCAATACAAAACTCTGCAGCACAGAGGGCCAACATCTGGCCTGTAGGGATGACTCTGTACGTGCAGACCAGCATGGAGGGCAACTGATTTGCTATCTTGCATCACCTGTTAGGTAGAGCAAAGGGAAAGGATGTGCCAACACTGTCCAGGAATCCCTTAATGCTGAAGGGATAATTAGGGCTATCAGCATTGATGATAATTCTGTGTGATGGTGGCTGAGCCTGAAAAACCAGAGCAAAATTGGGAGAACTGCTACAGGAGCAGGGTTCCTGTGGCCCTTGGCTGTTGTCCTGCTTCCCTGGACTGAAAGCAGTTTTAATTCACCATATGTCCTCATGCTTGAAAAGACTGGTTTCAAACTATTTACAGACTCTAAGCTCTGAGCTAGCCATCTATAGAATTATTTTGGGAGATTTGTTTCCCTTTTTTCCCATGCAAATAACACCTACTTCCCCTTAAAATTACCTGTTCTGCTTTGCTTTGCCCCATCCACCTCACCAATTCCTTCCCCAATTCCCTTCCCCCAACTCTGTTCTCACAATCTAGAAATCTAATTGAATTTGAGGAAATTGAGACTTGTACACAATTTCTTTGCAATTGCATGTTGACATTTACATTAAGTATATGCACATTAAAATGCTTGTAAATATACTATATGCCACCTTGGGGGTGAGGGAGCGTTAACTTTGTCAGAGCAGGTCTTTTGTAAGTTTGCATCCATTTCTACTATAAGTTATTTGTAACATATTCAGTCGGAGCTATTCCTGGCGTCAACTGATGAACCATTACATTGTCTGCAATAATGAAATCAGTAAATTGTGGGTGAGCAAAAGATTGAAGTCCAGAAGAAACTCAAACTCTGCTCGAACTGCACAACCTGAGGATTACATTTTACAGTCCTTAAAGATCGCTGAGCTGCCATAAGGGTGAACAAGAATTTAGCATACCTCACTATTAGACTGGATGAAATCTTCACTGCTTTATGTGAATGGCAAAAAAGGTCATTTTTCATTCTTCAAACCACTATTTACTCAGTTACCAGGAGATCCTAAATGGAACCTTTAAGTTATATTTCTAGTGAGGCTTTCCTGTTCTGAAGCAAGATGAGTCTTGAAGAAGTTTATGTCCTGAATATACATAAACTACCAAAAGTGGCAGTGGCCACAAGAACAACTTTCCTTGTGACAGTTACTCAACTATCAAACCCAGCATCGTGCTTCTCTATCAACACAGCAGACTTTTTCTTCTGCTGTTTTATGCCTATTCAGTAACTCTTATCAGTTTGGTTGTCTTGGACCAAAATTGCAATTTTCACACTGTTCGTTGGATTCATTTTTTCCTGCAATCTAGCTAAAGATACATGGTGGGGTTTTTGGGGGGGGAAGGGAATGAGAATGTAGTTTAGTAGAGTGCAGTTTTCTATCTTAAAATGTTTTAATTCTAAACTGATGTTGCAGTTACGGGAAACAGAAATTCTGAATTCAAATTCTGTTTGAACCAATTTTTACCCATTGGAACAATCTGAAGTTTGGTGCAATAGAACACTATTTTCACAATATTTAAATGTGAAGCAATTTAAAGTCTAACTGGAAAATATAACTCAACTATAATTTAGGAATACAGGTTTTATAGGGCAGCAATACTTAGGTGTAAATAGACTACATTTTCTTTACAATTAGTTTTTCAAATCTAAGGCTTTCGTTAGCTTAGCTGCAAGACTCCAACCTCCAATTTAAGAGGTTTCTGTATCTTTGCTGCTGTCCAGTAGTTGGCTGGCATTTGGCAGTCCCAATCCAGTTTCCCTAATTAAATCAATTCCAAAATCTGAAATCCATTCCAAGACTTCTTGTACCACTACAAAAAGTAACAACTATTAACACAGTAGCTACATTGTTTTACCCAGTGCCATTAACAGAAATGCTGTGCTGATGGTTTGCAAAGGTAAAATGCAGCAGCATGGCACAGATGTAGAGGAAACTGCTAATGAAGCGTGACAAACAGAAAGATGGTCTTGGGAATACACAGTATACTTCCTAATGGAATGAAGTGTAAAGAGTCTAGATTATCCACCCCATAGTCTGCTGCCCTACAGATGTGTATCAAATCCCAAAGAACTGAAACCCAACACATCTAAAAGATAACAGACTAGAGAAGGTTGGACTAGCCTCTTCCAGATAATGTGAATGGCCAGGCGTCAAGGGTGTCCACCAGTTTTGATCAAAAAGCCAAGTTGGTGTTATTGGCACTCCACCCATTTTTATGGGTGACACCCATTAAAAGCAGGTGGAACTTCAATCACATGGTTGTAACCACCATCTGGACATTTTTGGCCACATCCTACAGGCACACCTGCTGGGGACTGTACTTTATGCTTTCTGTCACTGAAAGACATATTTTATATCACTATACCTTGCACTACGCATGCATGAGTAGTGATGAGAGTGTTAGATTAATACTGGCAACCTAGGTACAGTTCTCACCAAATACGGCTGAGCTACGTATTTGGTGTGTTCTTATTGTACAGGGGTGTGAGGATAAAATAAGGGAGAGAAGAAAAGACAAGATGCCTTGCATTCCTGAAGGAATGGGGGCATATATAAATAAATAAGTAAAAATTTGTTGTTGCATTAATATCTTTCTGGATGCAATGGAAATGAAAATAGGATAATGCAGTTTGCACAAGGGCTGTTCATGGCTTGGAGAATCACTTAGAGAAATACAGGAGAGAAATCTTTGATGTAGCCTAGCTTGAATATATTAATTACTGAATCATTTAATACATTTGAGGAGCGTGACCCTGTTCAGAACTAAAAACTTCAGGAAAAACTCTTTAGGGTAAAAGAAAAACCTGGTGCTTTCATCACTCCCAAATTACATTTCATTATTTCTGAAGTCCACCTTACTAGATTGGAGGCAAATTAATAAAAGTTCTCTCATTATAACTATGGCAGAAGCTGATTTTTCCCATTCCTGTACCTGAGTGGTGTTTGTAAAATATCCAAGTAAAATTTATTTTTACTGGGAAGCTGACATTCAATAACACTGAAGCAGTGGTGCTTAAAGTGGCCTGAAACTCAAGTACCGGCTTGAACTTTCCTATCTTTTTAAAAGAGACAGATCCTGAATGCTCGCCTGCAGAGTTTTTCTAAAGGCCTTGAATCCCCAAACCGATTCCACTAGGTAGATGAAAAACATAATCAACAGTTCAATGACTCTCATCAGTCAGAGTATGCGCTTAAATGTGTTCAGGAGCATTTTGCCATTTGAGAATATTCATAAAAAGGAGATGGCTCTCCAACAAGAGTAAAGCAGAAAAGCTAGAACCATTTACTTAATGATCTGAGGACAGTCGCTCCAGGCTTTCGCTTTTCTCTTCGCTAAGGCCAACCAAGCAGGTTCGGTTGAAACGGGATTAGCATCCGGCGTAGAGAATCTCTTGGTGACTTCTTTAGCCAAGGGGGATGACGAAACGGAGTCGGTGATCTCCACTGTGGGAGAATGAGGAAAAGGAAAGAAAGCTTTGTTATTGCGCCATTACAGAAATCTCTACGCGTGCCTTCCCACGAGCATAGTCCTTGCCATTTCGTCAGGGGGGCAAAGCGGCAGAGAACAAAGTTCACAAGAGTCTGCTCTTGGGGAAAAACAACAACAAAGAATTTCAGGAGCAACTCTCGTGGTTCCAGTTTTGCATCACCAGGTAGACAGACGCTTACGTGCTCTGCCGAAAAATAAAGATTATCTGAAGCACAGGTCTCCTTCCCATGCCAGTAAGGGATTATTAGAACTGAGAGGCAGAAGCAGCCTAAACTAGGGAATATTTTTGCTGTGTGTTTTTAGAATTATTATTACTTTTGTTGGTCTTCCCTCCTTCCTTTTCTTGCTGGCTTTTTTTTGGGCGGGGGGGGGGAGCCTTCCTAAAATTGGCTAAACCATGACTTTTCTTGTTAAAAGGCACCACTTTAATTGTGGGAAAAACAAAACAACCTTTCCTGGATTTCAGCTTTGAAAGTCTGCCTAACTGCAACATATTCTTGGGTTTGGGGCATGGCATAAG